CCAGCATATTCTATAATCACTGAAGTTTTTAGATAACTAGTCTGCATACTTCAAAAGGTCATGTGAATAATACTTATCCTTGGAAAAGACGTTCTTATGCACCGATATAACTGCCAAGCTAAGTTGGTTTTGTGTTAGATAAGGAAATATTTCATGTTTCAGATTTCACGCCCTTGATCAGCACAGCATATCTCTGAGTGTGTGAATCAAGCATATATACTGTACTGTAATCCTCATAGATACCGTATGTTATGATGGAGAACTCTATGCAAATGCATGCATGTACCCACCGTTTGCATTAAAATTGACTGCTTTGTTTATCATACAACACCACCTGTCCCCTAAGGTCATGTCTTGTGTTCCCAGATCCATTCTTCAGGCTTAAAATGCACTGCTGTATTTCAGACTCGACATCTCACTGCATTGAATGGAATATGCATTTCAATGCATGTAAAAATAAACCAATGTACAAGATGCCCCAATTGCTGATAAGAAGGTTATTGTGTTTATTCTACATATTACCAGGCTAAAATGGAACGACGGTGTGCTTATGGCATTACGGCTGTCTTATCTAAGCTGGAGGACTGAAATACCAGGCCTCACCAATGAGCTCGAGCAACCGGCTCAGAAATAGATCACATGTCAGAGGAACAGCAATTACATGTCAGATGCCCTCGGCTAAAGATGCCTTGGAAAAAATACAGTGATAAACAGCATTTTATGTGACCAGACTGCTTTGGTAAAGAGTGTTGACAAAGTAATAATTTTGCCCCTAGTTTGTCACACATTTTCTCCTTTGGGTAATTGTAGCTCTTCGCAGGGTGACGTGTGACTCTTTCTAGGATCTGCTCTCGCTGTTTGGATTGTTGTGGTTTGTTTATTTGTTGCATGCGGGTGCTTGGCTGGCTTCCTGCAGCATTAACACAGGGACGGAACTCACAAGCCGCGTGGGAAGGAGGGCAGTGTGGCTGCCAGACTTCCTGCCCGGAACCAACGCTACGACATGCGCAATATGCAGGGAAATGACTGGGAGTTGGAGGAAGAGAGCGAGAGACAGAGGAAAATGGTGCAGATTTCCCCAGACACTTTCAGCCCACTCCTTTGGGTTTCCATGGTCAGGACGACAGAAACGTGGAGACATCCATTGATTTTTGGGATGCTTTTCATGTCTCTTGAGCAATGAATTTAATATACTATTCCTTTAAAATTAACATGACATCAAAATAGACTCTGGTTAATGTACTAATACATATTCTTATTGTGTTTAATCCGTGCATGTTATTCTAAAGACAAACAAAGTTCCTCATCTTAGTCTCTTAGCTCTTTGCAGGGTTTGATTGATTGATTGATTGATTGATTGATTGATTGATTTAATATCCCGTGTCACTAAGATGTGCATAACATACAGCAGTAAAATCAGCTGGAGAAATAACCTTCATGTTCCCTCAGATAGATAGATAGATCTTTCTTTCTTGTATTATTCATTCATTCATTCGTTAATTTGTTCGTTTGTTCTTTCATACGAGCATAAGTATAATTGTTTGGAAAAAGAACCTTTATGTCCCCACATATTTGAAGTTTATTTATTTATTCCTTTTCCTAACATTTAATTTAATTTAGTGTGAATAAATATAGATTTACATTCAAAGAGACAGGATAGTCTGTGCATGATCTGATGTTTTATTCTGATCCAGAAAAAGGCGAGATGAACATCACGGAATTCTTTAAAAATCCTACAATGTGATTTTCTGGATTTTTTTCCTCATTTTGTCTCTCATAGTTGAGGTATACCTATGATGAAAATTACTGGCCTCTCTCATCTTTTTAAGTGGGAGAACTTGCACAATTGGTGGCTGACTAAATACTTTTTTGCCCCACTGTATATAACATTTCGGTCCCCCTCACTTCTGAAATGATGGCTACGCCCCTGCTCAGACTGATTCTCTTACAAATCATTTAGATTTTAAAAATGGGATCAAATGATTCACTGTAAAATATTGATTCGTTCTTGAATCAGATGTTTCTAGTTCTCTCAAAAGCTTCTCTCAAGAGAGCTAGGTGGATATCAAGGAGCTTGATAGTCCCAAACCTTATTCATTGTCATTATTATGGTAATTCATTATCATATCATATTTATAGCATACTGTATATCATAAATACATACATCACTTTTTAAATGAACTGTTTCCTAAATGTACTGTTTATTAACATCACATGTTTATATATATTAATAGATTTATAATAACATTAATAACATTTTTACTTGAAAAATAAATGAATAATGTTTTAAAATGTAGTTAAGTAAAACAATAAAATAGTAAATATAAAAAGAACAAAAAACATTTGTCAATCAAGTTAAAAAAAATAACAAAACACCATTGGACAGTTCACTTGTGGGGACCACCAATGAGCTTGGTCAGCAAGAAATATCATATCTTCATTAAAACTGGAGCTTTGAGTGTATTTGGAGAGCAATTGTAGATGTAGAGTAGGTTGAGAGTGAGTAAATGATATCCAAGTTATAGTTAATGAGACAATAAGTCTTTTAAATACAGATATTTTGATGCGTTATAACCTTTTCTGGTACAGAACATCCCTGTGGTGACATTTAGTTGTTTATTTATCTTTTTACCCAGGCTTCCATCAGGGAACGTTTGACTGAGTCACGTTTGACTCAAGAGGACAAAGACTAAGGCAGTTCATTCTGCAGACTGAGCCAATCTTTCTTTTGATCAGCTGAAGAGAGATGGCAGGAAGGGTAGCGCCAGTAAGTTCGGTCTTCCAATCAGCACAAAAGCTGTGGCAGATATTTTTTTCACCATAGACCTTTTCATATAGATATTTAATTTCTGACATGAATAAAAATGAGGCTGTGAGGGATAGAAGTACAGTGCGTTCAGTGGATGTGTACTGCAGTTTAACATCATGCCAATAGTTTAGCTGACAAAACTTTCCAAAAAACTTTCAGTGTACAAAAACTCCTTAAAGCAGTCTGTAAAGTGGAGTTTTGAAAATGATGTGATCTAGTAACTTTATACAGTACTTACTTAGTTTAAAGAATAGTTTATAAGTACGCAATTTGGGATGCACCTTATGTTTTCATTTGCAAGAAATTCAATATGGCATCTACCCTGACTATGGTTTATCCCAACTAACAGGGAACATTCTCAGAACTTTGGAAAGAATGTTCTGGAAAGGTTCTTTCAAAGTTATGAACAAACATTCTTCCAGGAATGTTAATAGGACTTCTTGTTTGTTCAAAGTTAAGTTTTAAACGTTTCTACTTACTGGTTTTAGCCATTCCCATAATGTTTGCTAAACTATACAATGGAATGATCCTTCAATGTTTTCTCTAATGTTCAAATGACCAACATTCCAAAATGACGTTTTTATTGTTGACTTATTATTATTATTATTATTATTATAACTTCATGGGAACATTAACAATGTTAGCGCATTATAATTAGGTTGGATTTTACATTTCGCTTTCAGATCTGAGTGTAGCACCTACAACACATATCGGCATATTGTATCGGTCAAGTGGTTGCTTTTGCCTGAACTTATGACTTATTTCTACAAGTCTTTTATTCCTGTAAGTGCACTGAAGAGGCTTTTGGGTGAATTATGTGAGCATGTGTGAAGGCAAGAGTGGAGGATGGTAAACAAATGTGGAAATGGTGGTTTAAGGAGGCATAATGTGATTTCCAGAACGCCAGGCGGAGGCACGCTGTCGTGTTAGATGAGGCTAGTCATCTTTATTAACAAGGGAACAAAGTTGGCAAGCTGCCACCACTGAGTGTGACAAAATATCCAGAGATTGTCCTGCATAACCATTTATCTTGATCTGAGTCCAGCTAATGCCCAGCTCAGTTATTACTTGGAATCTCTTTCTAATCAATACAGATTCTTCATAGGTTGCATCAATCATGTGTTTGCACATCCTGACATTTGCTCATTTGCTACTGTAAATAGACCGTGGAGGTTTATGAGATAACTGAGGCATTAGACTTGACTGAAAATGTCTGACTAGCTGCTTTTGGTGGATTTCACTGCTATAAATCTAAAATGTGTTGATTGCTTGTTGTATTTAGATCCAACGAAGTCAGGTAGGTGCAAGCTCTCAATATTCATAAACTCTCATACCTGGTTGACTCATGATCAAAAGAATGTATATTTATAACTTTTGAATTAAAAACGAAAAATTGCTTGACATTTACTCACCCTCATGCCATCCAAGATGTAGATGAGTTCATAATCCGTAGTAACCCTTCTTGTAGTGAAAAAGTTCAGCCCCTGTTGTCCTCTCACATCGCAATCCACCAATATATTTTTTTAGAACTGTTTGGACACTTTTTGCTTGTAAAAGGTGCCTGATCTGTACATATTTCACATTTGATTCAGACAAAATGAGCAATATTATGGATAGAGGACTTGGAAGTAATGGTTTATAGTTAAAATGATGGATTTGTTTATTACAAAGCAGCTTTTTACTTAACATAATGTTAACTGATTGACTGGAGTCATGTGGATTTTTGTGTTGTTTTTATTAGCGGTTTGAACTCTCATTCTGACGGCACCCATTCACTGCAGAGGATTCATTAGCTAGTAGATTATGTAATCCTAATTTTATCCAAATCTTTTCAGATGCAGAAACCAGTTAATATACATCTTGGATTGCCTGAATATAAGTACAATTTCATCAAATTTTCATGTTTGGGTGAACTATTCCTTTAAGTAATTATCAAGCATGTAATGTGTTAAAATAACAACACATACTGTAATAAAACATTAAATGCAAGGTTTAGGCCATCGGTTGAATTTGAGAACCAGATGAGTCTTGTTTGTGAATGAATCTTTCTGTTTTAGGATCATTACACATGTTTTCTTGCATTCTCTCAAATATCATACAGTGATCACAGCAAGTCTAGTCACAGCAAGATGATCCTGTGTCGAAATCTAAGGATGAAGAGTTGCTGATAAATGTGTTTTGTCCTCTCCAGAAGTCATGCCAGTTCCAGAACAGCCTGCTGAAGTAGAGAACGCCACCATGCTCAGCCCAGGACTGAATGCTTCTAATGGCGACGGATCTGAGACTGAGACCACCTCTGCCATTCTGGCCTCTGTGAAAGAGCAGGTAGGACTTTTAATGTCCAATGTACAACTTCATTCACATCTTAGGCACAAAGCCAGAACCTTTCAGTGGAAAAGTTTAACTCTTTTGCAGTTCTGTCCATGACTTATCAGGAGACAGCGGTTATCTGTACACATTTGTCATATTAACTCTAGTGCTGGACTTTTTCTGTACAATTTCTGGGAGATGAAGATTAAAAGGGGAATGGTAAATTCAAGAAAGGCCATTTTGTACGACACTGAGTGATTGTCAAATGGCAATTGGGTGGAATTAACTATAAAGTTAACATTATAAAAGATTTCACAGATACTACAATTTAACAGGATGTAAAGACTTGAAGTACATTTTTATCTAATATACCCCCCCCCCCCCAATTCTCAGCTTTAACAACCTTGTATATACTACTGTTTTTTTTTATATATATATTTTTTAAAGAAGTATCTTATGCTCACCAAGGCTGCATTTATTTGATCAAAAATACAGTAAAAACTGTAATATTGTGAAATATTATTACAATATAAAGTGATTATATCACTTAAGCCTAGTTCCAGACTAAAATGCATGTCTGTTCTGTTTTAAATGTAAGAAACTTGCACTGACATATCTTAAAATATGTTGGTACTATTGATTTGTCTCAAGATGCACCCCAGTAATGTTTTTTTCTAAGGCACGTTTATAAAATATACTTAAATGTCCTAATTGAACTATGGCCTAATCCTGGCTTAACCTAAGCCCTGTCTGTGAAACCAGGCCTTAATTTCTCTGATGGCAAAGCTGTCATGACGAAAATTGGAAATGATTACTCGAGTCTTCAATGTAACATGATCCTTCAGAAATCATTCTAATATGCTTATTTTGTGCTCAAGAAACATTTCTTATTATTATCAATGTTGAAAACAATAGTACTGCTTAATATTTTTGTGGAAAGCATGATACTTTGATGAATGGAATTTTAAAAGAACATTTTTCTTAAAATAGAAAACTTTTATAACATTCTAAGGGCCAGTTTTACTAAACAGGGCAAATTAGCACAATTCCGTAACGGCGCCGATGAGTGTGGACATTTCTGTGGGTGATACTGACAACATGCAAATTAAAGAACACAGACGCAACATCTCATTAATAACCAACGCAATCTAACAAGCGTTGCGCAAATTAGCGTAAGTAGCTATGTTCAGATGCGGATAATGTGTTCTTCTGGCATTCCAAATAAATTAATACCTGTGGAAAAAATCCTCTCCTTTCTCTCTGTTCTCTGCAGTGCCTCCTCCTAGCAGCAACAAAATGGTTTGAGACATGCTTTTTTGGGCATTAAATAATGGCGCAAATACCAGTCATTTGACAAACGCAAACATTAGTAAATCGTGTTGCGTGATTCATTTTAATACTCTCCTCCCATAAATTTTGCGTCTGAAAGGGAAACTCTTACAAATGCATATTCAATAAGGTCAGGCGCAAAAATAACTGTGTCCATGCCTTTTCAGCTCTAATTCTTTGCTGCGCGTCTTTAGTAAATCCTGACAATACTATTTTAATGCCAAAAGACGGTTTGTGCTGGCGCATGCAGTTAGTAAATCTGGCCCTATGTGTCTTTACTGTTCATTTTAATCAAAATCTCACCTCAACAGTAGTAGGCTATGTCTAATGTATATACATTCAAAATAATAAAACAATATATGAAATACAATTTTTCATATTCTAGTTTGGAGAGGCCGGAGGGTTATTGAGTTAAAGCTCAGGAGTGACATTATTAGACTATTTAAAGAGCAGGTGCTAAAAGGTGGAGAGAAAAACTGAAATATTTAAAAGGACATTACAGTAAGCTGGAGGAAAATGACTGTGTGTGAAGATGACTGAGGAAATGTTCCTGAGGACAAAATCCAGAGCCACCGCAATGAATGCAAATTGAGAGACGGAGGGGGAAATCAGGAAAATGCCATAAAGTCAGAGCCTGAGGAACTGTTGCACCTTGGGAATCTGTCTTGGTAATGATTTAATTGACACTACAGTATGCAACATATAATAGTGTGTAATTTGTATTTGATTACATTCTTCATGTAAGGGGGGGGGGGGGGGGGGGGAGGGGGCAAATCCCAGCTCAGCAGTAAAAGGCCACCTGTGTTTTACCCGATGATGGATTTAGTTCAGACAGCCATTCCCGTCCCTCCTGGAACGGCCTGGAAGACTGTGCAGGTGGCACTCCGGCCCAATCCATCACAAAAATTAGCCATTACTTTTATTCATACACAACGGGTTCTCGCGTCGTACAGACGGCTGGCTCATCACAGCCTCAAAATGTTGATGGCTTCATGTGCTGCTTTAATGAAAGCTACATTAAAACCAGAGATGCTGATTCAGGGTTTCACCGAGCAGAACTGAGCATTTGTACGACGCAGTGCTGGGGTTTTCATGGTAGATTTGATTAATAAACCTGTGTATGTCTGTGAGACACTCAGTGTGAGGAGGCTGGGTAAATCAATGCTAGTAATGTTTGGAGACTCTCATTCCTCTCTCTGAAGACCCGTCTAGCTACACTTGTAAAACATCCTTGCACAATTTAAAGGTATTGGCTTTGGTTCTTTGGATAAAATGTTGAATAGATGACGTATTTAAAGTCTGGTATATGAAATAATAGTCAGAAAATGTCAGAAAAATATGTTTTATAGAGTCCTGCTTCACAAAAATAAATACTAGCAAACATTACCAGCAGTATTTTGTGCTTTGTGCCAATTCTGCACCTTTTGTGGCATAAAAACTTCTTAAAACATAGTATTATGTTCTCCTTTAATCTCTGTAGACTAACTCCCATATTATTTTGTCATGAATGAATTCACAACAGAAATACTTTCAGCGACTTCTAACCTCACCAGAGAAAAGAACTTGAAATAATACAGTACCCTCCACTAAAATGGCATATTATTGTACCGTGAAATCAAACCCACTTTTTTTTCTCAAGAAGAAAAGGCACAATTTATTCATTTCGAGCTTTCCAGTGAAAATATTGCTCTGTTCTGATCACACAAGCAATTAAGGCATTATATTTACAGCCTTGAGATTTCATTGTGAGGATGTGACGGTTATTTCTTTGCAATTTCAGACAAGCCCGGGCTGTGTGCAAGCCTCATTTATGCCAACTCCTTTCATACATCCAGCACATGTTTGCCCTTCACATATCAGTGGGCTGGTCCCTGTGTAATAAAGCCTTTCATGTTGAATGCTCTGATTAGAAATAAAAAAGCAGAATAAGCGAAGTGTGCTTTCTTAAAGGCGCTATTAGATTGCGCACTGTTAGATGTACCTGTTGCCAGACATTTAAAAGAAAGCTGCTGTACTAAAGTGCACACTGAAATCTTGGCACTGGTCACTGTAGGTTTTTAAACTTTTGGATCCCACTTTTAATGAGCCCCCAAATAATATGATTCTGCCCTTGTATATGTGTATATATATATAGTACATTTAATATTTTTCCTAAATATTGTCAATAAAAAAACATAATTGTGAATAATCTCATGAGTTCTGACAAGTCTTTATTAATGTTTCATTTAATTCTACTTACTGATATCTAATGTATATAATAATTCTTCTTCTTCTTAATATTTTTTCGTTGTTGTTGCTGTTGTTAAATTGTTTTATTACAACATTTGATTACATGATTAATTTATTAATATATTGTTTTATTAATATTGATAATAATCCACTAATATTAATGTTGTTGTTGTTGTTGTTATTTAATGGTTTTATTCATATGATGAAAATGTGTATTTATTAATATTCATATTTTATTAGAAAACAATATAATAATAATAATAATTTGTCTTAATATTGTTGTCGTTGTTGTTAATTGTTTTATTACTAAATATTATTACATGATTAATTATTATTAATCATTAGCTGATATGAAGTCCTGTGGCCACTCATACTGTGTGTGTGTGTGTGTGTGCCATTCAGGTTGAGTGGATTGGTACACTCTGCTGAAGGATGACGGAGGGAGAAGTAGATATTGTCCTTTAGCACTCATGCACCAAGTTTGTTTGGGTGGAGGCCATCCGGTTCAAACAGTTGTCTATGGCCCTAGAAAAGTTTAAAGTTGTCGATGAAATTGGTTGATTATTACTAAATATTATTAAACAATGTATTAATTTATTAATATATTATTGTATTATATTGTTATATTATATATAGTTTTAACAACTTTACCATTGCAGGACTCCTTGTGGCCCCCAGTGTGGAAACCCATGGACTAAGATATTTTTATCATTTTGTTACGGACTACAGGGCTTTTCCACATATCCTACATCATTTCCCAAATTCACATACTGATGCTATTTATGTATTTGCATAACTTGCTGAATGTGAATCATAGATGCGCCTGGAAATCCCTATGGCGGATGTAAACAACTGATGAGATCTTAGGCACGCATCGCTATTATGACCTCCATCCGCCCCTGTCCTATCTAAATCCCCAACCAGCACCCCTTGAATAGCTCTTGACCACCTCCTGCCCATCCTGCCACTCACGCACGTCGAGCAGGGGCCTGTGGGATTACACCCGAGAGCAATCACCATAAACAGCACCATCATTGTAATCACCATCCTCATCACCGCACCCATCAAAATGGTAATGCACTTCAGCGGCGGATCGCTGATTCGGTGTGTTCTTGAGTAAACCCTGTTATGCATTCTAGTACAGCACGTCACCCATATAGGCCCTGCAAAAAAAGACGTGGCTCGGTGGCTCCTGTGATCTGTATCACGCGTGACTTTGTGTCAGCGCTGCCTGGGAGTTTTGCAAGATCTGTATTGAGTCTAGATGGAGAAGGAGGCCTCATAAATATGTATGTCATGCAAATGACCATCCGTCTTGTGTGTTTTCTTTGAAGTGATGTTTGTGATCTCAACAGGAGGCAGCAGTTGTGAGTCCCAATCAAGTTGCCAGTGTTAGGCGATCTTATAAATAAAACCATCTTATTTTGGACGCCACTGCTCGCTCAAAGAGATTGATT